GACTCCCAGGGTGACACTGGGCCCCCCAAAAGTTGTCCCTCTATGCATTGCTGGGGAAGCTGCTCCCCTTTCCCTTGCACCGCCCCTTCTCAAGCTGCAATCCAAGCCTTGCTGGTGCTCACAGTGATGATGTAGTGGAAGCTGCCACATGTTTTAGCTTTCCCAATTGTCCCCTATGGTCTACTAAGTATAATTACCAAATAATGTCTGTGAACACGACTGTGTCCTTGGCAATTAGGGCCACCAGCCCCCCAGTGTCTCCTGCTGCAGGTCCCTGGCCACCCACCCTCATCATCTCACAGGCATTAACAGAACAGCACCAAACACTCCACCTTCCTCTCACCAGAGCTGCTGACAGGCAGCTGCTCGGGATTTTTAGGCAATAAAAGTAACAAACTGTCGGTGCTCTAAGGATCAAGAGCTCAGAGGAAGGATGATGAGCCTGTACAAATGGTGTGTTTGCACTTCACGCCAGCTGCTCCCCTGCACAAATGTGTCTTGGCCAGGTCTGTTCCCCACTGCCCTGAGTCTCACCTGTGGGTCTCATCTCTCAAAGCCTGTGGCCCCATCCTGCTCCAGAGCCAGTGGCACGGGATGGAGCCGTGGCAGAACCACTCTCGACACCTGCAATGCCACAGGACCAAAAAGGAGGTGCAGAAAGCCAGAGAAGACTATAAAGGAGACATTTTAGCCATTGATAAAAATAACAAAGCTCATGCATCCTTTTCTTGTTCTCACATCCCTGCTCTTTCTGGCAATCCTGTACCTGCCCCCAGCAGATTTCCCCCTCAGACAGGGGGCAGTGACATGTCCACACAATCAGCTCCCAGCAACCTGCTCAACCAGTTCTCCATGAGCTCTATTTTCATCCTCAGTGTTTTTAAACGATCTATTTCAGGAAACTTCTCTGCTTTCCCAGGGAGTCCGGGCACACCCACACCAGGCACCTGAAAACCCAGCCAAGACAGGGCAAGGCTGGCGTGGCTCCTGCCCGGTGGTGCTGGCATCCTGCAAGGGGAACATCCTCTGGGAATGGTCTGCCGGTGATGGGAGCTCCAGAAACCCACCCCTGGGCAGGGTACATTCACCAACACTTACAGTGATTGTCCACAGGAAGATTGGCTGTAAATATTCCTGGTCAAGAAATGACAACATGAGGTGACAAGAATTGCAGCATTTTCACACTGATTTTAATCGTATTTTGGCCAGGCTGAGGTTAATTTTTACTTGCTTTAACTCCAGAATTTAAGTGTCTGCCCCTAAAATTGTGCTGAACACAAATTTGTTTGCTCAAGAGCACAGATCTCGCAACATCTTAGGAGATCAAAAGCAAGAGGCCAAAATAACTAACTCTTTGGGGACATGGCAATTAAAAACAGACAGAGATAAATATTTATGTGTTTCTTTTATTTTTAAAACCTACTGTAAGATCTGTCAGAGACCCTTCAGAGAAAAGGGCTGCTCCTGCCTCATTTCAGTGCTTTCAGTGTCTGCACAAACCCTGGATCTGCTGGCACCTCACCTGGGCTCCAGTCCTGCTCCTGAGCTCCCACAACTGACCGAAGACTGCAAGTGTTTTAAGAATTAAGCCCTTTTAGTAGGAGCCAGGCTTCCTCACACACTCTCAAACGAGAGTATACGGAACACAAACAAACCACGGGTTAATTATAAACCTGGTCATGGCAGCTAAGAAAACACTGGAAGGTAAATATCTGCTCAGGTGTGAGATTATTCTGCCACAGAACCAAGGTCCTACTCCACAAAAGGCCAGCTCACATTTACAGGGGAGTATTCCACGGGGTTGTACCTGCCTATCTCCTCGAGAGCTTCCACTGCCTGACACTGCAGCTGCTGCTGAAGTAATGATAAGCCTGAGACTTTTTACATACAAAATGTGAGATACGTTCTTCAAATGACCCTCCAAGAGCTCAGGAGCTCTGAAGGGACCAGGGATGAAATCCAACCACTGGCAATCTGCTGAACAGATAAAAAAAATAAAACGAATTCATGAAGATTTTCACTAAGGACAAGCTCAACAATTTCTGGGGGTTCTTGTCAGTTCACCCTTTGTGACTCCAAGAAATTGCACAAAAGTTACTGGGGGGGAGGGGAGGGGAGGGGGGGAAGAAAAAAGGGGAACTTCCATTGCTTCAGGGATGTGGACAGCAATAACAGACCACTGTAGAGTTCAGCAGTTCACAGCAGATATTAGATCAAAATTTATGACTCTCAGGCACAGCGTGGATCAGCTGAGCGTGCTCTTGTTTAGAGATTTGTCTGATATAAAGTCAGGAACCTCCTGAATGATATTTCTGATTCCAGTACAGGTAAGCACTGGAGTTTAGTTTCCTCCTGAAGATACTCTAATTCTCCTTTAAAGTCCAGGCAGGAGGATCCAGTCCTGAGCACCTGCACTCCCCTGAGCCGTGCTCTGCTCAGAGCCTGCCCAGGAGCCCTCCTTCCTCATCCACTGATGAAGCACAGCTGCAGCCTTCCTCAGCACTGAGGATGAGGATGGTCATATCAGGATTTTGCTCACATTTCTGTTGCAGAATCACCTGCGGAAGGGAGGGCACAGTGACTCATGTGCTCTCTGCTCTCCTTCCTCTGTGCCCAGCATGTGGGCTGCAAGCACCAGGACCAACACTGCCCACCTTTTGTACAGCTGCTTCATCATTCCTCAGATCTTTCTGCCGGTTTTGCTCGTTTTGTTTTTTGCTAAAACTTAAAATTTTAGCAGCAGCTCTCTGGGTCTTGAGAGAATCAGCTCTTATCTTGACATTTTCACCTTCTGCTGGCGAGGTTTTCTGCAAATGTCAGAAGCATCATCACATTCCTAAAGCTCCTACTCTTCAAATCACACCCCATGGACCATTACAGCCCTGCTTTTATCAGAAGTACATTCAACACGTTTGAAGTCTGACAGCACTTCTTGAGGGGCATTACTTCTTTTCAAGATTAAGCACAAGAGAACGTCATGCAAAGGCAGATTCTGCGGCAACTTTACTGAGATATAAAATAATCAGAATTAGAAAGTTACACTGCTGTCCAAGACAAGGCAGGGAGAGAAGCAAGGAGGTGATGCTTCCTCATTTCTAAAAGAATCTGTTCCCTGGGAGCAGGATTGATGGGAAAGCAGCAACAGTGCTTAGACAGCGAGCAGAGTTTGGACTGAGCCTGACTTTGCTCCAGCTCTTACCCAAAGCCCAGAACAATGCTGGCCTGATGTTCTTTATGGCTTGGCCAGTGCCTTCTCCTCTGGGCTGTTCTATGACCAGGAAAGCAGATGCCAAGTCTGCAAAAGGAAAACAGGAAATGGGATTCCCTCCAGCACCTTGAGGCGCCGCTGAAGCCTGGCTGTGCGAGCCCACCCAGCACATGTTCCTCTCGTCAGCTGCACTTGCAGCTCGCACAAAAACTCTCTGTTTCTTTTGCACATTTCTCATGGATTCCTCTGGATTCTCAGTAGCTGTCTGACCACTGGAAATAAGTCATGTTTCACCATGAAAGCCTCTATTGTTGTTTTTTTTTTTTTTTCTACTATCTTCCTGCATACTGCATGAAATACCATTCACTGGCTCCAAGAGCACTGAGAGAAACAGCATCCACCACTAGAAGCACTTGGAAAAGTCAAATCACTTGTTTAGGGACACTCCTGGCAGGATGGCTGCCACATTTCCATTGGAGTCAGCTTCTAATGGCTCCACTGGGACTGGACAGAGCCATCAGCTCAGCACTGAGTAAGCTCCACATCCGAGCAATATTCATTAGAATACCAAGAAGATGAAATTCCCCCCCCCCCCCACTTCCCCCAAAATCAACTGCTTTGAGAAACTTAGGGCAAAGAGCACGATGCATTTGCAAACAACCACCCCCCTCAGGTGCTGGCAGTGCCTCTGGAAGCTGGAAGAGATTCTGAGCATCAACATGGAAATCAGAGCACTGAGTCATGATCGGAGCTTTAATCTAAATTTGTTCTGTTGATGTGGCAGGAGATTTGTTCCACATCAAGCTGTTTACGTTATGATGTGCAAGTGAGTAGATTTAGCTCATGTTTCAGTCTGCTAGAGGCCAGAGTATTTCTTAGAAATACGGTCCATTTAATTCTGCTTGTTTTTTACTGCTGGAACACTATTAATATGCATACTGCCTTTATTTGGATAGCTTTCCCATCACTCTCCAACTACTTTGTAGTGGGCACTTCTCCAAAACTGTAATACCTCTACAAATATTCACTGTGGTCCCAGCCCAGGGAAGGCCAGAGAGTGCCTGGACTGCAAAACTGTGATAAAGCATAATGTAGCAAAGCCCATATACATGTGTTAATTAGCACTGATGAGAAGCAAATTTAACTTTTTAAAAATCTCCTAAGTGAGCCTAAGTGTAATTTGATGAGCTTGGACAACGTGTAATTGGAGTGTCTGAGTTCACCAAAGCCTCCAGCAGAACTGGTAACATCCCAGCCCAGGGAGAGGGGGGAGCAGGTACCTGTTCACACCCAGGTCTGGGATGTGTGTGTGCCATCAGAAGTGGGGTGATGCCACCACAGACCCGATTCCAACAGGAGATCAGCTCCCCCTGTGCTAACAAAGAATGCCTTGGCATCCCTGACAGGTCATGAGGCTGGGGCTCAGGTGAGCTGTTCCCAGGAGGAGAGGGGCCATCCAGATCCCACCAGCTCTTTATAACATATGTTTTCAGAACTATTCATGATGCAAATCCATAACTGTGGACAAAGAGCAACCCCTTCACTGGCTCTTGCTGGAGACAGGCTGTGATAACCATCAGGCAGGTGTAGCAGCACGATAACTGCATTAGGAGATCCGTAAATACAGCTTGTTGGGACTGAAGGCTGTTATAATTTTAAAGGAGAAAGGAAACAATGCCTTAAGGGCATCTGCAGTGCCGTGAGAGGAGGGAGAGGCCGCTAAAGCCCAGCACATTCCAAAACACTGGTCATGCAGAGCCTAAATCATTATCTCCTTGCAGGCACACACTGAGAAGGATTTCTCCTCTCATCCACGTCCCTCTCCCACCAGGAAGGTGGGGCACATGAAGTTGCTTACTATACTGGAAGCAGCATCAATAACAGGACAATGATCCACCAACATATTCCTGCCAGGAATTATTTGCAGACAAAAACGATCCATCAAGTTGCAGCCCAGTGAAATCGCATTAACATGCAACAAACACTGCGAGGCCAAAAAGAGGGGGAATCAAGAGGCAGAAAAACTCTAATTGCATGAAGGCTGCTTAATTATTTTTAAGGTTACAAAGAGAAGCCTGACAGAATATAGGCTCAATACAGCAGACTTTGCAGGAATTTCTATCAATCCTATCACAATTCCGCCCTCCTACTGGAGCAGCACAGCCATGAATGCTGACCAGCATCAACCAGCTGATTAAGACACAAATCTCAATATTACTAATAAAACAGCAAGTGTCAGAAATAATAGCCACTATGAGCATGTACAGTTTCATCTGCAGAATGGAGAAAAAAGAACTTTTATGGTGTCTTGCCAATAAATTCATCTCTGGGGAACCATCAAAACAGAGGATGCCTTCCTGTAAAGCAATCACTGATGGCCTACCAGCACAGAAAATATCCAGCTCTGCATGACAATGACAGTGGTGCATGAGCCAGGCAGCAGATCCTCAGCCAAAAGGCTGTGTGGGACAGGTCTGTGGGTCTGACAGGCTGCAGGGAGGAGACAAATTCCAGGGCAACCAAAGAAGGCACAAAAGAGAAAGCTATAGAAAAATCAGAGAATACTGAAGAGGAGAGATTGGATTTAAAAACAGCAGGACAAAGAAGGGAACAGAGGGGAGACTTCTATAGAAGTATCCAAACTTTGAACCTCTGCAAAGGTCACAGGCAGAAATTCCTGACCTACACAGATTTAGATAGTGAAGATCAATCAATGAGATCCATATCCAGGTAAAACAAGATTTCAGAAGAGCAAGGGCCATTTCTGGCCTTCATTCCATGCAAAGTCAGTGCTACATGCAAGTGCTATGCAAACCCTTCACTCTGATCCCAGAAGGAAAACCAGAAAAACCTGGCACAGAGCTGGTCCCTTCACTCCTTTCAGGGAAATAAGGGAGGAAGAGGAAATCTCCTGGGGAGATCCTACTGAGAGGCAGTAGGATTTTTAAGGGTGTTTAAGACTGAAAAGAGGAAGGACAAAGGTGCATGATCTCATGATCCATACAGAAAAGGCAGATGAGAAAGAGCTGTGGAAAGGGCAGCTCAGGAGAGGGACACTGTTGCTCTTCCTGCAAGCAGGAAGAACTGGGAAGCACAAATCGAGTGCAACTGCTCTTCATCCAATCCCTCAGACAGCAGAGCAGCCAGGACTTGGCTCTGGCAAGTCAGTGATTTACAACCTAAAATCAGAGTCCTAATAGAAAAATAACATCCTGTCAGTGTAAGTGATGGTGCTTGCAGAGACCTGCCATCCTCCTGGAGCAGCTGCTCACCTCGACCTGCCACGGAGTGGGCATGACCAGCAGAAAATGGGCTGTTCTGCCAGGAGGGATGGGGGATTTCACTGGTTTACAAGTCCAGGATATCCCCCTGAGCAGGGAGCTCAGACACCCAGCAGTGCTCTCCAGGTCAGCAGCAGCTGGTATTCTGATGGAAGAAATACAGTTTCTGCTAAAAACTAGAATATTGGTGAAAAATGAGGTGAATGCTGCGAGCACAGGAGGAGACAGAAGCACAGGGCCAACAGACCACACACCAAGATCAAATTTTGGCTTTAAAAAGGGGCCCAGACAAGAAGCTCACACCTTAGCCACGTATTAAAAAGCCTGGAAATCAGTATCTCCCTGAACAAGAGAAAAGTGCTTTGCAAACAGGAAAGGCATTTCTAAAAGAAACCTCTTTTGGCCTGATCTCCTCCATTCCCTTTCCATGGAGGACACAGGGGTGGTGGCTGAGGAGCAGCTCTGACCCTGCAGCACCGTCCCAGGTTTGCTCAGCTCCTGAAAAAAATTAACACAAACCAAGCGTGGTTCGAAAGGATCCAGGCATAGGGATTAACAGCAGCAACAGCCCCCCAAAGAAACAGCTCAAACAACCAAATTCTGCACATTTGTAAGTAGTCGAGAATCTGCAAGCCTCTCGTGGGCTGAAATTCCCTCATATGCAAAGCTTCTGTGCAAATAACAAAACAAACCCCCAAAATTCCGCAGAGATGACCCGGGTTAATCCCACCCTGTAAATCCTTCCCTGAAAGCCGCACACAAACCCCGGGCTAGTCACAGCACAAAGCAAAGCCCAACATTACCACCTGGTGGAAATCCTCTTCTGCTACAGCCACAAGCAGAAAAAAACCACCAAATTAATTCAGTTTTAGGCAGGGGCAGAGTGTTACACCAACCTCGGGCTCAGTCCTGCACACCGAGGGACCACCAGCATCTGTGGGTTTAAAACCCACAAGTTTGGCAGCACAGAAAAATTACTTTCTCTGGGAGAAAGGCAATGAGTCCACATGCAGAGCAGTCTCCACATGCCCACACTGTTTTCCTTCATTTCATCTATAGATGCCACAGAAGATGCACAAGAAGGAATTTTTTTTTTCTTTTGTAAGATAAGACAAAATTTACAGATTTATAAATTGTGACAGCCACAGAAGACTCAATGTTACCCTAAACACCAACATCAAACCCAGCCACTTAGGAGCCCAGGTGCCAGCAATGGGGATTTTGGACTCTTCGAAGCAGTAATTTAATATTCACATCTTTTGTCGTTGCCAAATTGTTTGAACCCCCTGTTGCAGAGACCCCCAATTCCCAGGCAGACGTTGTTCAGCCTGCACTGCTGAACAGCAGAGCACAGCCCAAAGAGGAAAAACAGGGAGGAAAGAGTGACTGCTGAGGCTGAGAAAAAACAGCACAAACAATACAGCTGTAGCTAAAAAAAAGGTCATATGTCTCTCAACTTTTTAGCAGCCCAGATACAGAACTCTGTTCAGGCAATCTCCAGCCTGCTGAACAGTAACCACGGGGCTCTCTGATGGACCCCATCAGCATTTGGGAGCTGGTGGATGGCTTCCAGGCTGAAGGCACCAGGAAAGCAGGGAAGGGGGATGGGAGAATGCAGAGCCGGAGAGGCGAAAAGTGAGAAACAGGAATGAGATGCAAATGGAGACACAATCAAGGAGCGTGAACTACAAAAAGAAAGAGGTGGGACGAAAAGGAAAAGGGAAAATTAAATGGTGGGAAAGTAGAGTAATAGCTGTAAGAAAAGGCAGAGAAATACATCTGGAAGGTAAAATGGAAAACTGAGGGAAGGGACTGACCAGGAAGACCGATGTGTGCAGGTGAGCAAGGCGACCTCATCCACCCCTTCTGAATCAGCCTTGCTCCACTCATTTAGGAAGGCAGAGTCCATCTGTACCTCTTCAGTACAACCCCCCTTCTCTCTGACTGGAGACCCAGAGACCCAGCACCTCACCCCATCTCCCTGCAGACACCCACACCTGCCCACGCTCACCCTCACAGATTTCCTCAGCTCCACTCAAACCCACCAAGAGCCTGGGGCCAGTGGCAGCTCAGCCTCAGCCTCTCTGCCCCAACCCACCCTCCAAGCCAGGTGAAAAAAACCAAAACAAACCACAAGACATAACCCCCCCCATCACCACTGAGATTTCCCAGCACCTGAGAGGGTGGTGCGAGCATGTTTGACGTGGAAGGAAGATAATATTAAAATCCCAGCAGTGCAGGCTGTTACTGTTGTGCAGTGGAGAAATCCCAGAGCTGAAGCAGAGACCTGTCCTACCAGAGCCTGCCCTGTGTGATTTTAGTGGGAGTGAGGGAAGTGCCACGGCTCTTATCAGTGGCTGAGCAGGAGGCAACAAGCTCGAGCTCAGGAATGAACTTCATCTGGTGGCACCAGTTCCCAAGGAGTGCCTGCAAAAGAGGAAGGATCTCACCTAATGGCATTGTGGTTCGAGCCTCAATGTGTTTTACTGCAAATGCCTTGCTTTTGGGGGAGGAGAGGGGAAGAGGATCCATCCAGTCTAGTCCAGTGCTTCTGCTTCTTCAGGAGAGTCCAGTGGAGCACAGACAGCACAGTGTGAGACTGAGGGGAAGCAGAAAACAGGAGAGAGTGCAGGGAACTGGACACAGAAGGTGGAGAAAGGAACACAACGATATAAAGCCAAATGAGGATAGAGGAGACAAAGCATTTCTGTGCATAACTGTGGTTCAGGGCAGACTGAGCACTGAGGGAGCATCACTGGCACTGAGGAAAGGCCACGAGAGCATCTGAACTGCAACAAGCGCAGCAACGCTCCCCCCAGGATTCTGCACTACAGGGCAGTGAGCAGAGGTTGTGTGAGGATGCACGAGCCTCCCAGGGCAATGCTGAGACTTGGCAGAGCCCAGAGCTGAAGAAGGATCACAACCAAGCCCCTGCTCTGCAGAGAGCTGGCCTGGGGGTGCAGCCACCATTCCCCAGGAACTCAGAAAGCAGCGGAGCATCAGTAGCAAAGTACAATTCCCATTTTGATATGGGAAGGTACAAGGCAAGGAGAGGAGTAGGAGTGCCACTGATCTACTGTTATCAATATTTATATTATGCCAGTAGCTTATGAGCAATAAAAATATCCAAGGACAATTTTATAGGCCAGATTCACTGCCCACTCGAGGCACAGCCACAACAATGGTTTGCTGCACTGTCTTGCACAGAAAGGCTCTGAGGTCTTCCAAGTCCAGAGTTCTCAGAGAGATTGACAAATGCATTGCTGGAAGACCTGGAAGAGACGTACAAATATATCTAAAATGGCAGAAGTGATGTTTAATTGTTTCCACACACCACTTAGCAGCGGGTAGTAACAAAATTAAATAAAACACGATGAGGCCTTTTTTAGTACTTGCCAAACGCGAATGAGAAATGAGCGGGGACCCAAAATAATCCAAGAGTTTAGCGATTACCTGGGACTTGCCATTGTGACCACATTGCACACAGCAGCCACACTCAGTCCTCTGAACTGGAAGAAAAAGCTCCCCCTGCAGCACGGAGCAGAATTATCAGAGAGTGCTGAGAGCAGAGTTCCAAGGAGCTGCGAGCATCACTTTACACCAGGGAACGCAACCAGAGCTCAGGGCACTGGTTTACCCCCCTCAGGGACCCCTCTCCCAGGAGGGAGGCTGACCCCAAGTCCTGGTGTGAAGGAGGCATTTACCCCTTCAGAGCAGCGTCCTGCCCGTAACCCAAGGCCGTGGCACAGCTGTCCCTTCAGCGAGGGGAGGGATCCCCACACACATTTGTTGTCACCGATATCAAGGAATTTGGTGCCAGGTCTGCACAGATGGATCCCGTGACACAGGACTAATGACATGCTGCTGGCACTGCAGCTTCACAGGCTTTCAGCCTCAGGCACCCACAGCCACTTCAGCAGGCACACGTGGTATTGGAGGTGCTGGCAGCATCCCCAAATCACAA